TCCTGGATTTTTCCCACATGGAAATTCTGACCAATCAAGAGCAGCTTTCTCGCACAAGGCATTTGATCTGGTCTGCTTGTAAATGCAGGCCTTGAGAACATGAACCAACTCTCAGCAATTATGCACCTTTGTCACAAAATTTGTCCCTGATTCAGATCAAAACAAGCGAACTCCAGGTCTAAAAGCACTCTTAGTTAGTTTGTGTTATTGTGTGACTTCGGTGAATCCAAACCAACCCCTTTAAATTCCATAGTCACACAGTAACAGAAACAAACTAACTGACTGAAGCGGCAAAAGGCCAGCAGGTCCTGTGTTAAGTGATTTTAGATTATTGCTTTTTTTCAATGGAGTCTGGCTTTGAAGAGGGCGATTTAACAGCTGTAGTCTCCCACAGTAATCGCTGTCTGACAGCAAGGTAAAGTGGAGAAAATATTGTAATCATAATATACACTTAAACTCATATTAATTTTTTCGGGTGGCTAAATACGTTTTGCTGCTGCCCCCAGTCCACAGCAGTACATTGCTTAGCTTCCATGCATCTGACATCTACTGTATGTAATGCACTGACTATGGATAAATACCATATAACACCCCACTTCAAAAGATTCACACTATCACTATCATTACCATTGCAGTTTGAAAAACTGGGCTACAGCAGGCCGCAGATAAACCTGCCGGTTTTCGTCGTCTATTCGGCAGGTAGCTCATCTCTCTTCCTCTTAAATTTGTACACCCATTTGTTTAAACATTCTGCGAGTTGTCACTAACACTACCTCTCTGTATTTTTCTTCTATTTTCAGCCATCCTGGTGGAATATTTGCATGTAGTCCTGAAACCTGTGATAGAAGTGCCCCTCCTCTTTACCAGAAATGAGGTAACTGTCTTTCTGCCTTTTTTTGTTTCTCTTTTATTTCCTCCCAGACTTCAAATTAATTCTGGAGAAACAGCCTTTTCTGCTCTTGAACATGTTTCTAATTACGCTTTTTAAATGTCATACAGCAGCTGAACTCTGTATTTGAAACTAAGAATAAAAACTGACTGATTTTACTGCTCAGTTTCCTCAAAAAGTTTCTTTAGGTGACCTGAATGAAGTCTGAGATGCATTTTGGGTAATGATGGCATGTCTATAGTGTTACAGTGCTGTACACATGCATGCATATGTACCTAATAGAAAGTATGTGTCTCGTGTGTTGGAGCTAGGTTACCTCTTCTCCCATGAGAAGATTCTTGTTTAAGTCTCTCCCATAACAGTGAAGACAGACTTCATTAGGGTTGGTATTTTCCTATCAGCCCCCCCTCCCTGCTCTCCCCTTCCCTCGTCAGATGCTATCTCTTGTGCATAAATTATAGAAAACCAAAGTGAGCCTTGAATGAATTCCAAAATACTGGCAACTAACAAAATCCCAAAGTCACAGGAAGCGTTTTAATATGATGTGCTGGTCTGTAGCACTTTAACACGGAAGAATTTTAATGTATCAGGAAGAGGGCAGTTAGGTGCTCCTGCCTGGGGAGACCTTTACGATGCATCTTAAGGAGCCTCCGTCACGGCCTGTAAGGTCCTCATGAATGTGTGATGAGGCAGAAACTGAAGCTGAGCCCGTGGGCCTGCACATGGAGCTCATTCTGTCAGACAGCTGCTGGCCCGGGGATCGATGATTGTCCTGTGAATAAAACATAAACTGCTGCAGGTCAGAACAGGAAGTTCAGGATGAAGTCTGCAGGAAGTGACCTCAGTACAGTGGCTGTTGCCATGGTGAGCGGAGTCGGGCAGCCTCGTGGCAAATGATCCTGCCAACTCTCAGGTTAAGCCGTCGCGTGACGTGTGGAGGAGTTTTTCCTCTCGTAGGTAAATTCCAGGTCTGCAGGGTGATGCAGCTTCAAATGACAAACTACAATTCAGACACTGGGGACAGCTGCGTCTGGTGATATTTAATATTTTTCTGATCAACAAATCTTATTAGCGAGTATTGTCTGTGTAGTCAAAGCCTGGTGTGGCTACTCCTCTGTGCCATAGAGCTCCATCATTGTAGTTTATTTTGATTCGATCACACGTACATTGTCTTTCTGCTGGAAATAATCACCAGAGCGCCAAATGTGTATTAATCCGCAGCTGAAAATAGTCCCCAGCAAATGCACTTTTTACTCCTCTCTGAGTACCGTTTGATAAAAACTACAGTGCCCAGATATTTCGGGAAATTATTTAGCTTATTTCACAAACTACGTGTAACCTGTTATTAAGGATTACTGTCTTCAGAAAGACGATAGGGCTCGAATATGAGAACAACAGACAGGTTATGTCGGTATGTACATACCTAGATACATACTTAAGCAACAGCTCAGGACAGGTGGCAGTATGTTGTGATTATATCACAGGTGAGGGGCGTTGTCCGGCACGTCCCGAAGAGCAGGAGACGCATTCCAGTATGAATCGTTTTTATTAATAAAGCGTTCTTACAAAGAAATATGCCCTCCTGGCTACCTGCACATGCAACGCACTAGCTTCTTGTATTTCACCATCTATTATGCAACCGCTGAAAAACAGTCCAGTGTCTGCAGGATGATCTTGAAAACTGCTTGTAGGCTTGCATGTTTTGTTAGGTGGAGGTATGTCGCTTGCTGTGGCGAGGCTGTTCTCCAAGCTCTGTTCGCCAGTGGCTTGTTTTCATCCAGTTCTTCGAACTCATTTTTCACATATCTCTGCATACCATCTTTAGGTTCAGCAGATATCCCCCCTGAAATATGCACTGCTCAAGCCACTGCATCACTACAGCGTCAGCAACATGATAAACCACATGCCATGTCCTGAGTTCAGTCAGCCTTCGGTAGTGAATTACTTTTTAATGCCTATGCGTCTCAAGTGAGGGAAAAGTGAGGACGGTAAAAAGGCGCGGCTACCAGAGGGTGATGAATTTAGTCAGGATGATCGTCAGGTTAGACGGGATGAGCAGGACTTAGCAGTTTGTGGTTGCGGCGTGTTCAACAATAATGATGTACAGGATGATTAATACACAACAATCTGGCGAAGTCATAGAGAAGAACTGTTCTGTGACAGGCGTGTGCTGATTGATGCAGTTTGACGTCATGAGAGATGAACTGCTGACCTGTGGGAGGATGAAAAGATAGAAAAGAGCTTTTAGGAACTCTTCTTGTCTCACCGATGTCTGTCTGAACTCCTCTATCACTTCACAAGCAGACACCTTATCCCCCCACAGTAAGAAGATGCAGTAACCGGAGGCATCCATCAGTCACAGGCTATCAGAATGTAAAACCAAGTTTGAGGAGAGGTTAACTGAACCATTAGCCTGACAGTACGACCTTTAACTAGGCCTGGACATCTGTGCGGCAGCTTTAGGAGTTTCTATGATTTCTGTCTCGATGAAACATTTGCATATTTAACACAAATGTCTGTCCACTGCAGGTGAGGAACATAGCTGTGAGCCACACCTTCAAGATCAACAAGGCCCGCCGAGAGCTTGGTTTCTGTCCGAAGCCCTACAGCCTGATGGACTCTGTGGACCAGTACCTGAAATCCAGACAGCCTCGCTCCAGCTCGTCTCTCCTCGGCCTCTCCTGGACCTCCCAGCTGCCTCAACACCTCCTCCTGCTGTTGCTACTGATTGGCTTCAGCCTGCTGCTAGTGATGTTATCCTCCATTCACAACTGAAAATTTGTATGGAAATCAAATATTTGATGCTGTATTCACACCACATGTGACACCAGATGCAATGAAATATACCTTGAAATAAATCGTCAGAACGTAAGATTATGAAATAATTTAATTCACCTTTTTTTGATGTTGGCATATGTGTGTCTGATTTTGAAATGATGAAACTACCAGGCTGCTGGAAAGTATTAAACCTGAGTGGTGTGAATGTTATCGGTTTCTCTGCAATTTGAAGCTTCTATGAGGAAAAAAAATAATATTTGTAATATTTTATTTGAAATGTTTAAATCTTGATTGAGTGTATTTAAAGCATGTTTCCAGGTTCTCTGATAAAGCCTTGATGTGATTTACACATCTGTGGAGTTTGATTAGTAATTTTGTACACTTTTAGAAATAAAAGCATTAACAATCAAAGCCTACAATTAGTGTGTTGATTTAAACGTTCCCTCTTTCCTCTGCTTAAATGAAAATAATAAATCCTTCCTTGGTAGGACGAGTCCTTCCTTGGAAGGATCCTACAGAGGCAAGGCAAGACTCCTTCTTAGCATTCAGTGAACACACATTGGAACAGGCTAACGAGTGTCCCCAGGTGTGCGTCATTAACCTCAGCAGACTGAGGGTTTCAGGGTACTGTGATGATTCTGGCACTCTCTAATGTTGTTGTACAATTGTTGGACTCTTAGGGAGAAAATATCTCTGGATTATACTTCAAACAACAAACAGGTAGGCTGAATGAAACTTTTGTGGCACTTGGTGCTCTATCACTGCTGTAAGTGTTTAATTTAAAGACTTGTTTTATCTGACTCATGGTATGTTAAAAATCTCATTATTTGGAGCTGGACACATTGGTTTCTGTCAGTATTTTTTATGGTTGTATGATAAAAATTCCTGGACATTTTTATCTAAATCCTCCTGAGCTCCGCTGGCACAGGCAGCATTGAAGAGGCCCCGCTTTCCCTTCCAGCAAACTGTGGGCAAAGGCTTGTGGGTACTTAATACCTGCTGAGGATACACACATGCATCTTTGAAATTTCTCTGAATAAAGGACTCTATCTTTGGTAGAATATGAAGGATCCTTGACATTGAAACAGTCCTTAGGTGGGATTTGATGACGTAGCATTCTTGAAATTCGGCCATTTAGGGATCCTTCCTTGACTTTGAGAAACCCCCTTCAGCCCTTCCTGGGCATCACTGGAGCATGCAAAAGGAAAGCCATCAGCAGAGCCTCAGAAGCAGCAGAGAAGGTCTTGAGGTGGCTGTAGATTGTTACGGACAAGCAGTGGACTAATGCTTCTTGGACACAGGCTGGGAATTGATCACTCCTGGTTGGGTTGCCTGGGTGATGGGGTCAGAAGTTGAAAGACCTGAAACCCCCTATGACCCCAGGTACTTCACTGTGTGTCCAAGTGCATCAAGAGATGTATGTATCAACCTGAATAGTGTGTGCTTACAGAATCACTGTGAGTGAGTGAAGTGTGTTGTTGTTGTTGGTTTTTTATTTTCATTTTGCCCTGACACGTACCAATTACAAGCTACTCGACACTACTTAAAATGATTGATTTAATGAAAGGTCATTCCATATTCATACAATGAAATAGTATGGGTATAATATGCATTTCCTGAATCCTTAGAGTCCTGTGAATATTCCAGTTTCTGAGTTTTGTGTCCCTGATGTGTCTAGATGCAACAGGGCCAAAAGACAAAAATATATTTTAGGCAAAAAATTGTGAAAAAATGTGTGTCATTGACTGTTTAAAGGGCCACAGTCACCTCAGTATTTGTCAGAAAGATTCACAATTGGGCTCGGATGACAACCAAGAAGGTCCCCTTTAAAATGACACCAAACACAATATTATAAAACACTGAATAATGTCCTGACCATGAGCCTTAACCAGCGTCTAAAATGCAATTTACTTTCGGGGGTGGTTCATGTCATGAGCTGGTTACTGTGACACAGCTGCCACTCAGGAATGTCTATCATATCAAAACATCATCTACAGACATTTTCATAAATTATTACCAAATTTTGCCACCTTGAGTGGTACTGAAATCTAGTCTGGCCCATGAACTCTTTAAGAAACACCCAACGTGTCACATTTGATGGCCGAGCTGCTGTTGTCATCACAAGCCACAAGATGGCGCACTAGCACTGCCAAAGATTTTCCCCGCGGTATAGAGAGACAGCAAAGTGAGCCATACAGGAGCACGTGCGTGGTGTGTTCACGTAACAAAGTAGACGTGTATCTGCCAACTCGGTGCGTACATGTATTAGAGGTCTTTTGAGCAAAATCAAAGGTTATTGGCAGCGGTGGGATTCGAACCCACGCCATCGAAATGACTGGAGCCTAAATCCAGCGCCTTAGACCACTCGGCCACGCTACCACAGTAATGTAATGAGACAATCCATATATAAATTACTACCAAAAACAGTTGTGCTCAATCTGTTTACTTGTTTGGCTTTCCAGTAAAGCACAAGCATCGCAAATCCGGATTTAAAAACCAAAAGGTACTACTTACATCGCACCACAGTGTAATGCTCAATATTACCCCTGAAAGTCTCGGTATTCATACATCATTCTGGATATTAAACATTGATTTGACCCTAAATCACGAAGAGAGAACATTATGAGGTTATAAGTAGTAAATCTGTGGTCGGCCGGCAGACCTCCAGGAGCAGTCAGAGAGGGGTGCGTGGAGGAGTTACCCCTGAGATGGAGTGAGCTGGACTCACCATGCAGCATTTCTGTGGCATTGTCACCTCCTGTGGACTCTGTGTAGGCTATGGCTATTACATTATCGTTGCATCATCCACCCTTGTTAAGATGATTGGCAAGTTCAGAAGTACAGTATCAGTTTCAGAAAGTCAGACACAATGCCTATGAGTAGTCTGAAACCAAAACCGCAGATTCCACTTCCATTTCCTTTTGAGTAGTCCCCAACAAGCTGTCCATTTTCATTTGTAGACTTGCTGTCAATTGTTCCATCGTGTAAACGAGTCTCTTCTTGGCAGTCAATATGAGTATCCTCAGTACATACATCTGACCCTTGCTATAACTATCTTTGGGTATAAATGGCTGGACATCTACCTCTATGATTTATTTCTTAACGCTTCCCCCGAACCCCTGAATTATTGGGCAGTCCCAAGAAATATGCATGTGATCCCACAGTTTCTCCAACACAATGCTGATGAGGTTTCTGTCATGTATGACGAGATGATGATGAGAGGTATTAGAATGTCTGACTTTTATTTTCCAGTCAAACTCTTTCCATAATTGACGATTGAGTCCTTTATGACAGTTTGCACATAGATCTTCCCATATATTATCGTCAGCTATAGTATCTAATTCAAATTCCCATGTTTCCTTATAATGTTCAAGGTATTTTTTTGTAGAGAGTTGTATTCTATATGTGGGAATACACATAACACCTGATTTTGTCCAAATGTACGAAACAAATCTTGTTCCCCTGTTTGAATACATCAGATTGGAGAGATGGTATATCCTTCCTATGTCCAGGTTAGGTCGTGTTGCACTGTTGAAAATGAATATCCTTCTTAGGTTATTATATCCAGTTCAATTGATCCCACCTCTCTTCTTCTATCGCAAAATTATAAATAACTTGAATAGCTCCTTTTATAGTTCCTTTAGTGTCCTTTATATGGGCCAAGAAGGGTGGTCTTGACCTTCCCGATATCCATAACTATCAGTTCAGTGCTCATCTGCGCCTTAAAATTGCCTGGGTGCATTAAGGACCTACATCTTTATGGCTTGATATAGGAAGCTTCATGTCCCAATTTCCCTTGACAAATGTATTATTTCTTTAAAAAACTTAAATCTCTGACACTTGCCGGTAACAACCCCATTACAGTGGCCACTATTAAAGCATGGTGGGCTATAAGACAGCACGAGGGTAGATCTCAAATCACCTCTGTCTTCACTCCAATATGTGATAATCCTGATTTCTTACTACAGCTAATCTGCTAAATCTTGAGGCATTCGGAGGGAAATATCAGTCATGTACATTTTCTATTTATTGATTTCTTCTGTTTTTAATCGTATTCAGGCACATGTTTTAGCTCTCTGACTTTTATCTCATTTTAATTTGGATTTCAGCATTGTTTGTTGGCTTGTTGACCTTTTAACAATCAGGTCTCAGAGTTCTTCTACTGGATCCCCTCAGGGATGTGTTCTTTCTCCTCTTTTTTTTTGTTTGTAATGAACAAATGAATGTCAAAGTATCACATAAAGATTTGTCCGTAAGTACGTGGACAACTCTGTCATTGTAAGTCTTCTTCATGGATCAGAATATGATCATGGCCCAGCACTGGATGAATCTGTTAATTGGTGTGACCAGTCTTTCCACCAGATTAATGTGTCTAAGACCAAAGAGATGTTGATTGATTTTCGCTCCTTGTGTGATCACGTGCAGCAGTATCATAAGCATTTGGGCACTGTCTTAGATGACAAGTTGAATTTTGATGTGATCACTGATAGCATCTGTATGAAAGCAAACCAATGGCTGCTCTATTTAAGGAAGCTGAGGAGTTTCTGCTTTTATTGAGTCTGCTCTTTCTTTTAACATTGTCTGTTGGTTTGTTAAATCTGAGCCTTAAAAACAAGAACAAGTTGGAAAAAGTAGTTAAGTTGTGCTCCAAGATCACTGGTGTTACTTTAAATAACCTCCAGCATCTGTATGAAGTTGAGTGAGTTGCCTGAGTTGAGTTATGAGTAATGGGAACTTCAACTCTGATACTTTCTTTCTCCCTGCCATGAGGGATAATGTTGCTGATTTGACAGCTAATCCTTTTGTTAATCTATTTTTTTTGCTTCTGTACTAATTAATTTTCACAATATGATTGGTCTAACTCTTGACACGGACCTCTGCAGATTGCTTTGCTAAAGCCTTTGTAATATTCCTGCGTCTGCTTATAACACTGCCAAGATCTGTCCCCTTCAGGCAAGCGTGGTATGCAATCCCCTTGTTTGGAGGTTTATTGGATTTGAAAGCAGGGCGAGGAAATCTCAGTTATGCAAAAACCTAATTATGAAAAGAGACAAAGCCCCATTAATTGTTTGCTAGACCGGGGACGCTGGGGTCCTGTGGGTTGTGTAGGAGAGCAAATGCCACACTGCTGCTGCGTGTTTTGATTTGTTTCTAGGGAGGACATGTTGAAACAACTCTGCACACAAACTATGTAGTGATGCTATCTCTTTTGCTGCAGCGCCCACTTTCAGATGCATGCACTGGTGGTGACAGAGTTACGTTTTAGACATTAGGACACAGAGAAAACTCAGCAGGCTCTTGCATTAACGTTTTTAATAATCAGAAGAGTTTCACAGCTTCAAAACAGCATATTGCTAAATGCCATACTGTACTGTATGTTCAAACATCAGCATTATCCATTAAGCTTTGTTTCTCA